GAGAGGTCATCTGCAATTTTTGTTACACTTGGTGTGGAATGGTCGTAATAGTAAAAGTATGTAATGTGTTATGTTTCATGATTAGAATAAATATAGAAACAAACTTTTGATTTGTTTCAATTCCAAATGGCCTTTTTTTTTCTTTCTGTAAACGTTAACTGAATGAAATTCGAAAATTGAATTACAGAGAAATCTAACAATCATAGCTTCTGAGTAGAGAATTTTCTAAAAATCGTCGGGGGTAACTTCAAAATTTTTTTGGCTTTCTCGGATGAAAGTGACTGTTGCTATGCTTTTTATCCATTTTTAATTGTTCGACACGAGCTATATGTTTTCTTTGTTGGTTCAATGTTTGCTACATTTTGAAAAGACTGGGAGATATGTTCATAAGATGCATCTCAATATTCTTACAATATAGCATCTAACATCGGGCACAACATAACAAACGCTTTCTTCAAGGCCTTAAGTCTTTCGAAGTTTTTATCTGATGTATCCCTGTGGGTAATAGAAGAATTCGGTTTTGAATTTCTTTTTATCAGTTTATCAACATTCACTCACATTCCTACAGCAATAACCCGATTCCCAATGTGATTAGAAATGTCGTTGAATGCACTGATGACATCTTTTGTAACAAGTCCATTTGAATCCGGGCAATAAATTTCCTTGGCTAGGTTTGGCGATGATTTCTTTGGTTTTGGTGATTGATATTGTCCATCTGATGGATTGTCTAGCAAAATTTCAGCCAATGAAACCCTTGAAAAAAAAACATTTTTTTTATTCAATTGCAATTTTGTTGCCAATCCAGCCAATCCAAAAAAATGTTGTTCCTTTACTCATAACATACTTCCAGGCTTTTAAAATTGGAATTTGAATTTCCAATGCTTGTTTCATTTCTAAAAGGTCATCTTTTTCATCGTTCAATCTGAAAATATACGACGCATTAAAATTAGGTTTGAAAACTGAAAAAACTGTTTTTTTATTAATTATTTTATCGAAAAACAATGATCAAAAATGAATTTATATGGTAGCTCACTCATAATGGGCAATTTTTGTTTGAAAATTCAATCATACTTACATCAGCCTTTTATGCAATGCATGAATATCCAAGACAGATCTTTTGAAATTTTCAATCAACGTTTTTCATTATCTTCTGATTTTTTCTTTTGTCTTTTTGCCGAAGGTCTTCTGCTATTTTCTGATGAAGACAAATTTTCACTATCAGAAGCTTTTCCGCCATCATTGGGAAGAGTGTTTGTACTATTCATTTTTTTGCAAAAAAATTATTATTCAGAAAAGATAGCAATTTTTATGTTGCTATTATGTTGTTAGCGTCTCTTTTATTGAGTTATGTGTTTTGACAGTTCATATTGGTGGATTACATTGACCATTGTATGTGAATGAGAACAACATGCATTTCACCAAAATAAAAAACAAACGTAATAGTTAGAATAAATAAATGGCCTTACGTCCGTAATTTATTTTGAAAGTAATTGGTTTCGTTGTCCGTTAAATGTAATTTGTTCATTAAATGATGCAATGAAAACAAATTCAAAAGATAAAATTATTCTTCAATGCAAATGATTGCGAATTGAAATTTGTTCTCAAAAATGACCCCATTTTCAACGTTAGAACTATGTGAAGCATAGATAAGCGAACGCAAAGTTTTATATTTGTTCAAAAAAAAAATCATAAACGATACGTGATGATATTACTCGAATTCATCTGAGTATGTTAGGAAATTATCAAAGTTAAAATGAATTTCAAGCGATCGTTATATGTCTAATTTTGCATCAACATTGGTTCGACATTCACCATGTCAATGATAGTATAGTCGTACTGAAACGGCATCTTTAATCACGTGCTTCTTTTGTATTTAATAAACAAAGTGAGCTGAGTGAAGCTGTCTTTCAGAAGAAAAAAAATCTTTCTTCCGATTACTTATTATTTTTACCGTTTTCTTTTAGCAAGTCACAATTAAATTAAAAATTTTTTAATATAATTTCATCAAAATTCAAATCATGAAAATTAAAAAAAAAAAATAATAACAACTCTGAATGATAATTATCTTGACGTGGTGAGGGGGCTTACTCAATCATCAGTTATATTTTGATTGAAACAAAATTTTATCGCTTTTCACTAACACTTTAATTTTTCTATGAATACTCGTAGTTAACTCCTTTGTATATTTTGTAAATTATAAAATTAGGTGAGCGAAGAGATTATAAAAAAAAAGTAAAATGTCAGTTTCTTCAAGCAGAGCGAACATGAATTAAACTCAAATGTTACAAAATCATTATTATTTTCATGAAAAATTCTGAGTTTCATTCACCATTTGCAAAAATACCAAGAAATGTTTATTTGCTAGGCTAAAATGCATTTTTCTTGAATTTTTTACATTTTCAACCAAAAGTCGCGCCTTAGCACAAAATAATTATCAATTCGGCATTAAGGAAATTTAAAACTCATATTTTTTCGCAAAAAAATAGGGGTTTCATATAGCCAAAACCATGAAAAGCTGCATTTCTGGGTTAGACCGGCCCAAAATTTATCGAGGTCGTGATTTTTGTGGTGCTCAGCGCTTAAATGAAATAGGGCCGAGAAAAAATAAGAATGATCTTTTCAGAATCCCATTCTGTTCCATATATAGGCTCCCGCATCGCATATGTTTGAACACATTGCTCCCTTAAAAATTCACAAAATGATCCATAAAGCAAAACTGATAGCCAAACTTCGATCCCAATGTATGGTGACATATGTTCGCACGACCCTAGCAAAGACGTTGGCAGTATCCGATTTCATCTATCTGCTCTATTTTCCAAAATAGGCCCAATATTTTCTCTGAAAATCAGTCTACTTCAAAATTTGGGGTTGACCACGGATTTTGAAATTACCACCATTTTAAGGTCAGCTTGGCCCAAGATGACGAGAAATGTAAGATGAATAACATTCCCGGCGAGAAATAGTCGAAAAAATTCAATTTCCCTGATGAAAGTACTGGAAAAATGAAAAAAATATGAAATTTGCCCATTTTGCACATTTTGCATGAAAAATCACATTTTTTCCATCATTTGGAGGATTTTAACAACTCATTTTCATCTAGGTTTTCATTTCAGTTTCAAAGTGGGATTTTAGCACCAAAAATTTTGAACGCAAATGTTCAAACTCATTAACTGATTTTACTGGCTGCGTTCTGTGCACAAAACTCTGTGTGACAAATAACGCCTCATTTTTGTATGCTTTATGTATTTTTGCTTCAATAAAAAAAATCTAGAAACAAGAAAAACCATCTCTCTTCAAGTTTGTATATTTGGTGCTAAAATCCCACTTTGAAACTGAAATGATGGTCGAATCGGTGTTTTATGTTTATAAATTGGTATTTTTTCGACCAAAGAATGGAAGTTTAATGAAAGAAAAGACTAAAAAGCGGCAATTTTGTGGATGAAAATGCTATTTTTTGTTGAAAATGTGACAATTTTAATACATCGGTGAGGAAAACGCGCTTTTTGGACAATCTGGGAGGGTAGTGCGATACGCAAAATCGATTCTTCATCAAAACCTAGATGAAAATGAGTTGTTAAAATCCTCCAAATGATGGAAAAAATGTGATTTTTCATGCAAAATGTGCAAAATGGGCAAATTTCATATTTTTTTCATTTTTCCAGTACTTTCATCAGGGAAATTGAATTTTTTCGACTATTTCTCGCCGGGAATGTTATTTATCTTACATTTCTCGTCATCTTGGGCCAAGCTGACCTTAAAATGGTGGTAATTTCAAAATCCGTGGTCAACCCCAAATTTTGAAGTAGACCGATTTTCAGAGAAAATATTGGGCCTATTTTGGAAAATAGAGCAGATAGATGAAATCGGATACTGCCAATGTCTTCGCTAGGGTCGTGCGAACATATGTCACCATACATTGGGATCGAAGTTTGGCTATCAGTTTTGCTCTATGGATCATTTTGTGAATTTTTGAGGGAGCAGGGTGCTCAAACATATGCGATGCGGGAGCCTATTTATGGAACAGAATGGGTTTCTGAAAAGAGCATTCTTATTTTTTTACGGCCCTATTTCATTTAAGCGCTGAGCACCACAAAAATCACGACCTCGATAAATTTTGGGCCGGTCTAATCTAGATTACTCATTCCCCTCCGAAATTTTGGTGTGCATAGATTCATATAAAGTGAGATTAATAAACAGTTATTACGCATTCATTAAGTACGTCGACACATATTTCAATACTTTCGAACAACGGTCAAAGGTAACGGTTTCAAAAAAAGTCTCAGAGTTTCGACTAAAAATTTTAAGAGCCTTAACGGTTTTGAATTTGAAAATCGATTTGCCGGAAGTGCATGAGCAAATTGATATAGAGAAAATTGTTGACATCAACGCAATCGAAGACGATAATAGTCAAATTTTTTTCAACGCTTCTAGCAGTCAAAACACTCACGAAACAACTTTTCGATCGAATCTTTCGATCACGGTGATAGAGGACGGATCTTCGAGACCCAATTCTCCGGTCGACGAAGAAAAACGCGACACATCCGAATCAAATTTGCCAATTTTATCTCCTAACGCGGGGTCTGAACGACTACCAAATCCGGCTCAAACCATGGCTATATCAGTCGAGGCTATTTTGAGCGGCATTACTGAATTTTCAAATCAGAGCCAAGCGCAGGTAACTCAATTTATTGCCAATGCAGACATGATGATCGCCTTGGCACCCGATCAAAATGCAACTGTTCTAACCGTCATAAGAACGCGATTGGCAACTGCCTCTTCACTCGGCGATATTTCTGATAAAACGTGGCCTGAAATAAAAGCATCAATTCGTGAGCGCTACATACGCGCTGAAATACCGTTTGAAACTGCGCAGGAGAAATTGCTCGCAATCAAACAGGGCGCGAAGGAAGATATTGAATCATTTGCAAATCGCACCAAAAAACTGCTTGAAATTCTTAATTCATCAACAATAAATACAAACATGGTGATTCAGGCGGCTCAACGAGCAATGAACGAATCGCTCGCTGTTCGTAAGTTCAAACAAAATCTCCTAAACGGAAAAGTTCGTCTAATGGCTATGAATATTGAGCACGAGAAATTGGTTGATGCAATTGCTCACGCGTTACAAAAAACCGAGGAATTAAAAGCATCGAACGTTGAAAATGATAGCAACGAAAATTCTGATGGCAACAAGCAAGCGAAAAATGGTGAAGAAAAAAAAGTCAATAATGCAAAAAATGACAAGAGCAATAATAAAACGCCAGCGAAGAAATTTGACCCGTGTATTCATTGTAAAAAAACTAACCACAGCTCCGACCGCTGTTATCGTAACAAAAATCGGAATGGTGTGCAAATATAAAAAAAAAGATAGCGATGCTCTATGACAATGATTGATTGCATTTGAATATCTCTTCTGATGAAATGGAATAAAGGTATTGTTTATGATCCAAACAGCCCAAATTCTCCCTATTGATTTGTTGCAGTTATGTGTATAGTGCTGCACTATTGGTGCATACTTGATCGTTCTGATGACACATTCAAGCTTTGCGTAGTTTTGTGAATGAGAGACAGAGTAAAAGTAGTAAGAAAAAAACACAAATTTAGTTCAAAATCGTTTTTTTTTACCAAATGACGTTCAGAGTCTTTGCTTTATTTGAGGCAACTGAATCGGCATTATTTTTATTCAAAATTGCAAAGTAAATCAACACATAAAAAAACAAGTCACACAAAAGTAGCAATTAATTAAGTCAGAATCATAATAAGTGTGCACTGAAAGAAATGCATTAATGGGTTATGCATCAGTTCCACATCAACTGGAAGCTTATTATTCGAAGAATAAGCTTGAAAATGTTATTATGACCATATCGATGGATGAGAATGAGAGCAGAGTATGTTTTCCACGATTCAGTCTACATAAAAATGGAAGGTTTTTGATGCCATGATAATAAATGAGGACATCAGAGACCAGTATGGGAAAATATAACTGTGTAACGAGTGAGCAAACGCTTGAAGTTATCTAAAATTGGATGATTTATTTGAATTCCACGTAAACACTCCCCATGATTATGATCCGAATAGCCCGACTCTCTCTATTGATTTGCAGCAAATCATTTGCTGCACTTGATAATTTCGATAACACATTCAAGCGTGAACTGTGTCGCACAGCTTTATTTTTGTATAAAATATCGGCTAGCGTAAACTTGGCTTTAAAAAGTCTAGAAAAACACCGATTCATATTCAAAGAAATTCGATTTGTACAATAAAATGAATTTCAAGAAAGTGGCCCTGCTTGTCATTGGGTTATTATTAATATTTTCATGTGCTTTTGCTAAAGGTAAGCTAACAATAAAAGGCGTAGCATTTGTTGAATTGTATACTATTTTTATAGAGAAGTGCACAACTGAGAACTGTACTAGGAAATGTAAGGCACGCAGGTCACACGATGGCGAATGTGTAGGACCACTTGAAATTTGCTGGTGCAAAAAGAAAGGCGACAAATCATCGATTTTAGATAATGGTAAGCTAA